GTATTTTGAAAAGTTTGATCAATCCAAACTTTAATCGTCTAAATTCAAGGGAATGCATCCGTAGTCTATGTAATCTCTCCTTTAGTTCAGTCTTTGGGGTCCAGGTATAATTCTGGTAAGTGATGCTCCACTCCTCCAAGGCCAGTTAAGCCTTCTGAAAATACAGTGATCAGAACTGCTCACAGTACTTCAGGAATGGTAAAGCGGAAACATGGTTTCTAGTACTCTAAATATAAAGATTTGCCTTCCATTAGCTTTTTCGTTATTATTTGTATCTGTTTATCACGTTTTTATGAGCTAAGTGCCTGGGTCCCAAATTTCTTTGAACCTCCACTGTTTCTAACTTTTCACCATTTGGAAAGTAACCTCTTCTGCCCTTTTTAGGTCCAGAGTGGATGATTTTACCTTTGTCTCTATTTACTGCAGTCATGCCCATTCACTTACTCTGTCAACATCTCAGCAATTTTACACTTCTGCCTACACTGCTTACAATGCCTACAATGCCACTTGTCTGACACAGTGACAAATTTAGAAATTAACTTTCCATCCAATCACTTAAGTCATTGACAAATACAGTGAACTGTTGAGCCTTCAACACAGATCGTTGCAGTGCTCTGCAAGTTACATATTTCCAATTAGAGTGCTTGCCTATCATTTCTAGTCCATCTCCTACAACTCAGTTAGGTTCTTAATCATATTAAATTTATCTACAGCTCCATGGCTTTTTTCCCACACAGGCTGTCCCTTATGAGGGATTTTATCAAACCTGGAATATGACTCTTTGTGTTTCGCACACCAAGCTACAAGTTTGAGTGTTTTTCAGTGTGATTATTAATTTAATGAAAAGTTAAGAGCAGTTTTGTTTTGTGGAATTTTGCCCATTAGCAAGTGAATTTTGATTGCTGAAGTCATTTTATTTAACTTTGTAGTTTATTCATGACAATGTCAGGTATCCTTATTCAGAAGAGTTAACCCAGAGCATTACTGTATGTGGCTTATTAAATTCAAGTCTTTAGCCAAGAAGTGAAGACCTTTCACTGTCAAAAATGTGTGCTTCGTAAGATACCGACATTAACAGCTTGTTCTCATGTTTTCTGGTTACGACTATACCTATTTTTTGTCATTGTATGATGGTGAACCTATTACAGGAGAGAAAAAACTATGCAATTTACTTTAAAAAGCTCATGACGAAAGAAAGCTAATGTTTAAGATGTTTGTAAGTTTAAAGAAAATGTTTTCATATGGTGTCTTTTTTCCCAACGCACTTTACAGCTAAAGAAGTCATTTTGAAGGGTACTGTAGTATGAATACTTTGTTACTGGCTTCTATTAACTAAAAAGGCAAATTGAGTGCTGAAAATCTAAAATAAAGGATGATAGCATATCAGATTGACAATGGTTAGACAACATTTCAAGATATTTTGGAGGGTTTGAGCTATAAGAAGAGGCTGAACAGGCTGGGGCTTTTTTCCCTTGAGTGTCAGAGGCTGAGGGGTGACTTTATAGAGGTTTACAAAATCATAAGGCGCATAGGGTGAATAGCTAAGACCTTTTTCCCAGGGTAAGGGAGTCCAAAACTAGGCAGAATAGGTTTAAGGTGAGGGGAAAAAGGTTTGAAAGGGACCTGAGGGGCAATTTTTTTCACACACAGGGTGGTGTGAGTATGGAACGAGCTGCCAGAGCAGGTGGTGGAGGCTGGTACAATTACAACATTTTAAAGGCAATCTGAATGGGTACATGACTAGAAAGGGTGTAGTGGGATTATGGTCCAAATGCTGGCAAATGGGGCTGTCAGTTTAGGATATCTGGTTGGTACGATCAAGTTGGACTAAAGGGTCTGTTTCCATGCTGTATGATTCTATATTTGACAAAGGAACCCACCTGATAACGCTCGTAATGTGCCTGTATTTGCCATTTTGTGGCAATGTTGATACCCGTTGCAATTAATAGTCATCTTATCCATAGATTCTCTTGTAACCAGGATACTTTCGGGTATGGGTGTCTCTCCAAGATTCAGGCAGTGGATGTGTAACAAGGCCAGTCATCTCTGGACTACACAGAAGCTCCATAATTGACTTGCTAAATCAGTACTTGTGCATCCTGGAAGGTCAGGCCTGAAAGTGGCCAGGAGCTCTTCCCACTCTGCTCCAAACTGACAGTGGCCCCTAGCTAGTAAAAAGTTATAGGAAGAAAATATTCACTCTTTTGTAACAGGAGGCTCACTGTTTCAAATGGCTAAACTCTAGCAAACCTGCATGCTTTGAGTGCCAAAGCTTCTTCTCCACTGACTTAGGGATGGGCAATAAATGCTGCCTAGACAGTGATGTCCTCATCCTGTGAATGAATAAAGGAAAAAAAAACTTGTTCCTGAACTTCCAAACTTATTAAGTTCAGTCCTCACCTTGTGACATCTGATTGTGCACTATACATTTGGCAAACAGAAATAATTCTACACATACAGATTTCACAGTAGTTTGGCAGCATCTGTGAAGAAAAAAAATCAGAATTAACGTTTCGGATCCAGTGACCCTTCCTCAGAACCGGACCCGAAGCATTAATTTTCTTCTCTGATTTTTTTCTTCACAGATGCTGCCAGACCTGCTGAGCTTTTCCAGCAACTTCTGTTTTTGCTCCTGATTTACAGCATCCACAGTTCTTTTGGTTTTCACAGTAGTTTGAATTGAAGATTTTAAAATTTAGTAATGGAATTCCACTAACTTTGGTTACTTGCCTGATTGAAAGGAGAGATTATTTGAAAGGTGGTCATATGTCTAATCCCATCAAAAATTGGGCTGTTTGGATGTTCCTTTTGTTTGTATATTTAAATAAGATATCGAATAGGATATAAAATAATAAATAATATAAAATCAGATGTGCCATTAGCTACCCAAAAAAAATTCCAAAAGAGATGAGGACCTAATGGTAGCAACTGACCTTTGTAAAGTGGTTATCAGTTTTCATGGGTTGTTGTTTCATTAGGTGAATGATATTGGAATAAGCCAACAGATATTGAGTACTGTATTTGTCTGACCATTTACAGTCGACGCAACATCAAGCACAGTTGAGATGTTTTGCATAATCCAGAATAAAGTCACTCCTAGACTATTCTCAAAAGTGCACTTTAATTCCAGTCAAGAATACCAGCAGAAATCATAGTTTGCCGAAATGTACTGTCTTCAATGTGGGTAAATATCCCAGAGCACATCAGAGCAATATAAAGTAATGTTTTCCTAAATAAACAGAGAGATTTGGGGGACGGTGACCAAAATCTGGGTTCAACTAAAGGAGATGAAGGGGCTCACGGATTTAGACAAATATTGAGACAGTTTGAGTAAAGAGAAGTGGCTTGCGTAAGAGATTAGATTCCGATTCAGCCAGCATGATGCAACATTTATTTTCAGCAACCAATATCAGACCATTTTGAATTAGACATTGCTCACAAACATTGATACACAAAGGTGCTTTAGCAGTGTTGAAAGAAAATGATTGTATTGAATGGATGTGAACGCTAGTGACAGAAAGAAAATGACGTAGTTCAAATTTGTTGAGCCATTCAAGTCATTTGTTGACTGATTTCAGAGTTGTGCAGATTTCATAACAATTTGTTTTTCAATTGGCAGACAATTTGGATTACTTTTGAGTATGGTTTATAAAGAAGCAAAGGCTTAGTACTGGGCATATTGTGTATGTCAGTTTACTGAATAAATGCTTGAAAGCCAAGCGAAAATATGATTGAGGCAGAACCTTTGGTATTTAACATAATAACCATGGACTTTCCAAATTGTGTTTTGGTGGAAGAAGTCTAGCACCTGTTGGTGACCAATTAGCAATTTAGGGGGTGATTCCCACAGATGGTCTGAACTTTGCTGAATGTCGGATGTGTAGTGTGACATGCCATATCAGATCTGAATCTCTGAATTTGCAGGCCTGCTTCCTGCCAATGTTCACTGCCTATAAGAAAGTCATAAATACCTGCTATTGCTGCAGATCTGAATAACCTGCAATTTCACTGTGGTCAAAAACTTCAGGCTATCCAGAATTAGTAACTAAAAAGCTTCATGTATCAATTATCACTCCTTAGTCTGCTACCCTGAACTACTGATTTCTGCCTGTCACTTTCTGATTCTCTAGTTGAAGAGTTGGGCACCCTGAGCTATGAGGTAAAATAAGGCAAAAAGATCAAGGACATAACCTCTCATAATTAACTTATTACTCCATCTTAGAATTTTTTTAAACTCTTGGCATTCTGGATTTCTGTTCTCTCCCTGTGCACGCGATGCCCCATTTCTTACGGTTTGAGCGTAAGGAATAAGTGCTGTCCAGTCAAAAATCACAGGAAAATTTTTCTCTTCTAAGGTTCTAGTCATGAAAAAATATAAATAATAGTGATGTATAGATGGTGTTGTTAGCAGTGCAAATAAACTTTCTCAATGAGATTTTAGCTGTTGATGAAAATGTATAACTAATTAAAGTGTTAAAAGATCATCAATGCGAAGATAGTGATTCATGGTAAAGCAATGCGTCAAGGGATAAACTTTTTGCTTGGTGAGTAGTAAAATGCTCTGTTTGCGAGTGTGATTATGGCAGGTTCAATCAATGCTCCAAAAGGGAATAGGATAAGCATCAAAAGAGAAGCATTTGCAGGGCTACGAAGAAAAGCTGGAGACCTGGGACTGTCTAATTGCTCTTGCATGGACTCAATGAGCTGAATGGCTTCCTTCTGTACTGTAACTTTTCTATAATTGACCTTGAAATATTGAATGGCAATTGTACCTTAATCAGACTTGGAACTATGTCTGGGCGTAATGTTCAGTATAACACTTTATATCTGAAGCTGTTTCTGCTGATAACTAGCTTTGTCAAAGTCACTTAAGCAATTTGTTTGTCAAAACATTAGGAGCCATTTGTAAGATTTTTGTGACTCACATTTATGTAAAAGTATTTGCAAGATGACAACTGAAGGGAGTCATTTTTGTTTCTCTTCAATTCTTATGTACCCAGTCACTAGATCACCATCTCACAGCAGTGGAGGACAATGGGCAGACCCAGGAAATCGGACAGAACGGGTTGAATTTGGGGGTGGTACCTATCAACAAAGCTTTAGTAGTTATTCCTACGTTCCAGACTACTCTGTGCGGTTATTAACTGATGTCCAGTTTGTGAAGGTAAAAAGTTGCTTCTGTATTATGATCCTATAAATATGCTATTTCACTATATGGTTGGAAGCTAATCATATTTGTATGTGTAGTGACGCAGCTGTACATTGCCCACTGTGTCAGCCAAGACAACCCTCTGGTCACTGAATTGCTATACACAGAAGTGCATGCATATATTAATGCAAATGTGCAAATGTAAATCATTCTAAATGTACCCATCACATTCACAGCTCTTAGGCTTTTTGTGGAAGTTTTGAATTAAGGCTAGTAAATATTTTGTCAGTATCAGAAAGAGGGACAATATCTTGGAAGGTCTTCAAATGAAGCTTTGTGGGTAGAGATTAGCAATTAATAGAAGTTGGTCACAATGCTGGGAGTTTATTATGGACCTTCAAACAGTCAACGGGCAATAGAGGAACAGATATGTTCACTGATGTGCGTAAAAACAATAACAGCGTAATTATATTAGGGGATTTCAACTTCTCCAACATTAATCGAGATTGTCATAGTTTAAAGGTTTAGAGGAGCAGATTTCTTTAAACATATTCAGAGAAGCTTTTTAAATCAAGATGTATTTGAAAAATCATGACCTAATTAGGGACAGTCAACATGGCTTTGTGCAGGGCAGGTCATGTCTTACTAACTTGATTGAAATTTTTTGAGGAGGTTACGAAGGTGATCAATGAGTGTCGAGCAGTGGATGTTGTCTACACAGATTTTAGCAAGGCTATCGACAAGGTCCCTCATGGTAGGCTCGTCCAGAAGGTTAAGATCCACAATGATTTGGCTGCTTGGGTGCAGAATTGGCTTGACCAAAGGAGGCAGAGTGTAGTGGTGGAAGGGTGTTTTTCTGGCTGGAGGTCCATGACTAGTAGTGTTCCACAGGGATCCATACTGGGAACTCTGCTATTTGTGATATATATAAATGACTTGGATGAAAATGTAGATCGGTGGGTTAGTAAGTTTGCAGACAATACAAAGATCGGTGGAGTTGGGGATAATATAGAAGGTTGTCAATGATACAATGGGATAGAGATCAGTTGCAGATATGGGCGCAGGAATGGCAGATGGAGTTTAATCTGGGTATGTGTGAGGTGCTGCACTTTGGGAGATCAAATGTTAAGGAAAAGTATGCAGTCAATAGCAGGACCCTGAACAGCATTGCCAATCTAGCTGTGCGAGACCCCTTGGGGATGAGCGACCATAACGTGATATAAAATTTATCAACATGGAGAGTGAGGTAGTTGATTTAGAGACTAGGATGCTGAATCTTAATAAAGGAAACTATGAAGATATGAGGCATGAGTTGGCCTTGATAGATTGGGGATGACTGTGGATAGGCAATGGCAAACATTTAAGGAATATATGAGGGAACTGCAACACCTGTTTATTCCTATCTGGCACAAAAGTAAAATAGATAAGACGGCCAATCCATGGCTTACAAAGGAAATTAGAGAAAGTATCTGATCCAAGGAAGAAGCATACAGATTCTCCAAGATAAATAATACGTCTGAGGATTGGGAGCAGTTTAGAATTCAACAAAGAAGGACCAAGGGATCGATTTAGATGGGGAAAATACAGTATGAAAGTAAGCTTGCAGGGAACATATAAAGGCTGACACTAAGAGTTTCTACAGAGATGTGAAGAGAAAGAGGGAGGATGTTCCCGATGGTGGGTGTGTGCAGAACTAGGGGTCACAGTCTGAGGATTCGGGGTCGACCATTTAGAATGGAGATGAGGAGACATTTCTTCACCCCAGCAGTGGTGAGCCTGTGGAGTTCATTATCGCAGGAAATACTCCACACCAAAACATTGAATGTATTCAAGAGGCAGCGAGATATAGCACTTGAGGCAAATGGGATCAAAGGTTATGGAGAGAAAGCAGGATTAGGCTATTGAGTTGAATGATCAGCCATGATTGTGATGAATGGTGGAGCAGGCTCAAAGGGCTGAATGGCCTCCTTCTGCTCCTATCCTCTATGTTTCTATGCGCAGCAAGATCTTGGGGTTCAAGTCAATCGCTCCCTGAAAGTGGCCACGCAACTAGATAGGGTGGCAAAGAAAGCCTTCATTGGTCGGGGAATTGAGTACAAGAATCAGGATGTCATGTTGCAGCTTTCTAAGACTTTGGTTAGGCCACACTTGGAGTATTGCATTCCGTTCTGGTTGTCACATTACAGAAAGGATGTGGAGTCTTTGGAGAGAGTGGAGAAGAGGTTTACCAGGATGCTGCCTGGATTAGAGGCTTTGAGCTATAAGTAGACACCAGAAAAACTGAATCAGAGATAGTAGGAACTGCAGATGCTGGAGAATCCGAGACAACAAGGTGCAGGGCTCGATGAACACAGCAGGCCAAGCAGCATCATAGGAGCAGAGAGGCTGAC